TGGGAGTTTACAGTTTGTGATGTTCATTTATTTTTTTATCTTTCATTTGATTTAAGCTACCACAGACAGTCATTTGCCATTGATTTCCTTTGCTGAGGTTACCTGTAATAGACACAAATGATAAACGGCGATGGCTGCATAGCAGAGGTATGAAATCCAGCTACAGTAGTTCGAACAACCATTCCTAATGGGAGTTTGGAGTATGTTAAATGTATGCCAGTATGTTATAACAGACACATAGGAACATGTGTAAACACATTTCTGCACCTTACTCAGAGATAAGGAAAAACAATTTTTTTAACTTCCTTTAACATTCTTAAAACTCCTAAGCTAATTATCATTTATGTTTTATAAAATTATACAAAGCTAAAGCTGGTAGCAAAGTGTGTGTTTAATGTGAAATGTGTATTTCTATGACATTAATGGAATTTCTTTTTCCTGCAGGACTGAGGATATCTATGACTTTGTCTACATTGATGCCTTTGGAAAAGGCAAGCAGCTGACAGCAAAGGAGTGCGAGTACCTCATCGGCCACCAGGTTACAGCAGATTACTACAGTGCCATAAGCACCACAGAGGTGCTGCTTAGGATGGTGGGAAACCTGCTTAACATCGGCAAGAGAGGGTAAGGGAAATTGAACACCTGACTCTACAATCGCTACAATCGCTTAGAGATAAATAGAGGGCGGATCAGTGGATGATAAAACAAAGAGGCTAATCAAGAATGTTGCTCTAAATTCCTGCTTATCTTTTTGTTTTATGATCTGACAAAATAATTATGGCATTAAACAGTCTCAAAGCAAAATAAATGATTAAAATGGATTTGATGTCTGTCAGATGAATAAATTAATAGCATCTTCTCTTTACTATTTTATTTTTATTTTATTTTCTTTTTTTCCCCCTTGTCAGTGAGGGCAATGAAAAATCCTACCAGCTACTCCGAGACTCTCTGGACCTCTACCTCACAATCAACCCAGATAATGTGCAGTATTTGCTGCTGCAGGCACGCCTCTACTTCCACCTGGGAATCTGGCCAGAAAAGGTCAGAATAGCCAACTGTCTGTTAAAAATAAGTCTTGATTTTTAGACTACTGAAAGTAGTTTTTGTAGTGTTACTATACTGGAATTGTTTTCCTCATTCTCTACCTAAATTAAGTGTTAAATATTATAAAATATAAAACAATTAACATTGTACTGCTCTTGCACAATAGTTTAATATGTAACATAATGTGCAGCTGCATAGGACAGCTATTCTCAGAGGTCATATACCTGACATAAACACATTGTGGATTGACTTTTATCCTTTTCCCAGGTGCTTGACATCCTGCAGCATATTCAGGCACTGGATCCCTCCCAGCACGGAGCGGTGGGTTACTTGGTGCAACATACGCTGGAGCACATCCAGCACAAGAAACACCCTGTGACACCCGAGGTGAAGAGGCGTAGTGCTCCAGAACACCTGGAAGTCCAGTATTCAGTCGGCCTTATTATGAAACACAAGCGGTAGGTCACACTGTAATGTCATTCGCCATGCATCATACATGACAAAACCTAAAATCCTTTCTGATCTTTCTCTCTGATCATACCCTGTATATTTGATCACCTGAGCATTTTGGCTCTTTTCCACCTGTTTTATCAGCTCTGGGTATAACTGTGTGATCTATGGATGGGACCCTAAATGTACAATGAGTCCAGAGTGGATCTCCACCATGAGGGTCCATCAGCTGTCCAATGGGGCTAATCAGCCTTTCTACAATGTACTCGTGCAGGATGGGACTTGCCGCTATGCAGCACAAGGTATGAATCATATACAATAGTGTGGTGATGGTAACTATTAACATCCCCTGTGTACAGGTTGTGTGATTGAAAACAAAAATGTGTAAATAATGTATATACTTGGTAAATTCCTTCACCTTCAAGGTGGCATATAGCTGTTTGTTTGGTTTTGTTGGCACTTATAATACACATTAATGGACAGAGTCTGATCAGTGCTCTACGTATGGCTTATTTACTGAGTAAAAAACACACAACAGTGGCAGTACAGATTGAAAGTTTGTAGTTTTACTAACTTGGGGTATGTGGGTCTGCTCTGACTTTGAGTGGGAATTCCAGGTTAAAGGGGCATTCCACAAAAACAATCAGACTGGGAACACTGAATTTCCAACTTTAGACTTGTTTAAGATGCAGCATTAGCCAGTCTCTGTGTACTGCTCTGGTGCTTATTCCACTTTCCAGAAATGAACAGGACTTTAAGCTGTGATGTGAAAATAAATTGAATTTGAAATTATCTTGATGAATTTAATTTTTCATTACACAATTTTGACATATTATTTTGTAATTGTCCTCTGTGCAGCGCCACAGTGGATTTTAAAATCAATCAATCAGATGTGATTCGTGTCACCCTTTCAGCTTCAATTTATGAGGTTTAACAAGTATTGCATTATTAAATACCCATTTTTTTTTGTACATAGATGCCCATTTTCAGAGGCTCAAAAGTAATTACTCCATTTACTAACATTCAGTTTCATGGCCAGACAAGGTCAGTTCTCCCAATATTGCATAAGAAATTCAGAAGATAAAGGATTTGGGGCTAATTTTAAGTGTTAAACTTGCATTTGTTAGCTGTTCACTGGCACTCTGAAGAGGCCGATAAGGATGTAGAGGCCATCGTTGGGCTAAAAGGACAGATTACACCGTGCCAGAGAACCTCTAGAGCAGGCTGCAAAGTTCTGGGAAAAAATGGATACAGTGTTGATGACATTCTTTGGACAGATGAAACCAAGATGAATTTATACCAGAATGATGGGAAGGGAAAAGCATGAAGAGGGGAAAAGAACAGCTCATGATCCAAAGCATACCACATCAGTTGTCAAACATGTATGGCTGCCAGTAAAAATGGGTCACTAGTATTTATTGAATACTGACAGCTGTGGTTTACAGAGGTAAAATTACAAAAACATAAGTCCTTGTTCAAATACTTATGGACATGTCACATATACTCAGTCCCACCTGAAGTATGTTTTTCCTTTGTTCTCCAGAGAACCTGGAGCCTCACTCAGCCCCCCTGGAGATTGGCCACCCAGAGGTGGGTCGCTACTTCTCCGAGTTTGCTGACACCTACTATGTTGCCAATGAAGAACTGCAGACACGATACCCAGAGGACATGGATGAAACCTTGTGTACAGTCCGGGAGTTCTATCACAGACTGACACCCAGTGCTGGGAACCAAGAAGAAGCTCCTACCACAGACCAAAACAACCAACAAGCCATGTCTATGTAGCAAGCAGCGCTGTCTAGCACTCTGCCAACCCAGGCTAACCGCTTACAGGTCACAATTAACTTAGCTGGTGCTTTGTTGTCAAAACCAGAGGGGTATACTATGAAGGAAATTCAAGAAAGCCAGGCTTTTGTTGCCTTAGCTGGCGTAACAGACCCTAAAAACCCAGTTGGAGATGATCGGTACCATGACGGTAGTTGTCAGCGTTCTCTATTAAGCTTTCTGCTTCAAACTCTGTGTGTGCTCACATAAAAGAGGGGAGTTTCACATGACATGCAACTCTTCTTGCATATAAAATGACCCATATGAGTGCTACCCTTTCCAATCAGAGACATTATATGATGATGATTATAAAAGGTGATTAAAATCTATAAGGAAATTTGAAAAATATAACAGTAAAATGCAATACTGTTTACTCACCAGATCAAAGTGAAATCAATTTGACTGAATAGGTATAAAAAAAGTATAAAAGAAATTATACATTTTCAGTATCACCAAATTAATACATTCACCTTCCTGTGACAATGCAAAGAACCTTTATTCAGTCACTTTAGCAATGTGTGAAAACCTGGCGCTTCCAGATGATTTTCAAACTAAAAACCAGAACATAACCAGCTCCTGACCAGGTTACAAGAACACTACAAGTTACCATGGTGATTTAGCCAGTTAAGACGACCACTTTCATGACACAGAATACTTTATGTGGAAGTAGCTTGCTAAGCCATTGAAATTACTTCGTAGTAGACCCCTCTAGCCGTGTGGAACAGAGTTTTTGCTTTGATACATCTGTCCTAATACCCGTGTATTTGTTGTAAAATCAAGGTTCAAATTGTCAGACAATGATGTATGATACTCATTTAGCAGGGATGTATTTTTCACAACCCAAATACCTTCAGAGAGCCAAGTTGGAAAATTAATCAAAACCAGAATAATTTAACTTTAGAAACCACTAGATTTAAAGTAAACAATTAAGCGGACAAGTAAATATCAGAATGAGTGTCCACGTGCTGCAAATCCCCATTTTCTAAAACCAAGGAATGCTCTTTTACCCACAACTCCACGCATCCAGCACCAGTCTTAAAACCATTTACCCTAAATCACCAGTACATTGACACCCAGACGACTAACTTTGTAAATTGACTTTTGCTTTTATTTCTCCGTATTTTAATGGTGACACTCACTTATGAAAGTCTAACTTTCACATTTCTAGTATTTTTTTTTTCCTGTATATTTACAAGTGAAATAAGTAGGATGCCATGGCTCATCAGTCTTTAATGAAAAAAACAAAAATAAGTGGAACCAATAAGGACACCAACTACTTGAAGCCGAAATGACTGAGTTTTGAGGAGACAAAAAGAATAAAGCGTTCCAGGTTGTAATACTTACTTTCTGACTCATTTCTCTCGCTTAGTGTATTCATTGTTTTCTAGTTCACGACACATCACTAACTACATCTGCGCTAATGAGAAACATGAAGCAGCAGGTGGTTTATCCGCACACTGTGTGGATTTAGGACCTTGAGGACGCCAGACGTTCCCAGGACGCCAGAAGCAAACTACACTTCTAGTGTCTTGCAGAGGGAAGCGGGTTAATATTGCAACACTACAGAAAAGTTCAAACAAAGTATGCGCTCTGACGGAGCGGTGAAGCAGCAAGAATGGGAGCTTCGCAGACGCGCCCCGAGCACAACTACGACGATCTGACTGACAAAAGTGGATGTAAGTAGGAAGATTCTCGTTTGATGCCGTGCACCGTGCTGTTTGAGTTAAGTGCTTCACTTGCATCGTGGAAAGGCTGGTAGCTGTGATACGCGTCGTCGAGGAAACGAAGGGAGACTAGTGATTAACAATTAGTTGATAGCCGTGCCGACCTGTTTTTCTAGTGTGCTGGCTGATATTAAAACCGCATAATGAGGTCAATAAAAAGGAAATACAACTGTGTGAAAACTACTGGAATTAAATGGAACCATGTTGCACTCCTTATTACTCACGTAATCGGGGCTACAAGTTGCCCAACGTAATTTCCCCTACTGTTTAATTCTGAGTTAATAACATATCTTAAAGAGGTCTAAATGGTACTTGGCAAAAGTAGGTCAATTTCGGTTTAAGGCGGAAAGAGCAATAACCGCATTTTGTTCCAATGTTTTTCAAACGCCTAGCTATTTTTAAATTAAAAACCTAATCTCAACGGGAAGAAGAGAGGTTGATTGCTTACACGGAGTAGCTGTCAAAGAAATGAGACGGTCCCATAACTTTGTGTAAATGGGCTCGACATGTGACACATGGTGTGACGGGTGTAATATTTACGTACTTAATATGCAAAAGAGGATCTTTAAAACGATCTAATAGCGATAGTTATGACTAACAGACGCAAGTTTAAAATCAGGTCTACTGTTCAGTGCGATTGTATACATTGTTGGCGCATTGAGGCACTCAACACTTTACCGTCTGTATGTGGAAGAGTGAAATAAACAAGTTAAAACACTACGGAAGTAAGTAGAGTTTTGTTTTTTCGTCTTCTTTTTAAAAGGCGAGTCTCCAAGTAGCGGCATGCCAGTCTGATAAACGGGGATTAGATTTGAATCAACTTTATGGCTTTTGTATGTTTGAGACTTTGAACTATTTTATTGCCTTCATTTCTTCAAGGTGCGTCTCTCTCTGGGCTCAGCTGGAGAGCTTTCTGGACTTGAGTTCTGCGCAGTTTGATGAATTGATATGTTTCATTGCACCCACAAGTGTGTGTGCTTTTTGTTGAGCACAATACCACAGATTCTTCTGTTGTTGTTGTTGCCCCCCCTTTTGGCTTTGGCTAATTGGTCCATGAAGTTGAGTGTTTGTTGCACCACCAACAATGACTAACAAACTGGTTTGTATAAAAGCATTAATTTACATGCTCTTGGGAAACGGGGGAAAGGTCACAATAAACAGGGGTGTTGTCCACAATGATTAGAAATTCCAAACTAGTTTGATAAGGCACCAGGTAGAACTAGAAAATCATGCTTAAGGCTTCTGGTATGTAGACCTAAAAAAATGAGTGCTGATTTAAGTAACCATGTGAAATTGCATAAAGGTGTTCAGTTTGTTTGCACTGCCATTAGACTGATAGCAAAGCAGCACCCATACAATTTGATTAAAAACAAACAAAGTTAAGTGAATGTATAATTATAAGCATTACTGTAAAAATCTTCACAAATACATTCACATTGTTGTGTGCTTCTTTACAGTTTCACAGGAGCAGATCAAAAATCTTTACCAGAGATTCCAGCAGCTGAGTGGAAATCATGAAAAAATAAGGTAACATGTCTTGTTACATGGGGGTCAGCTCGCAAGTGGTTTTAATGGAAACACCTGGGCTTTCTTTGGCTGATATAGTAGTATGGCAGTTGCAGACTGGCAGTTCAGACTCACAATGGAGACGTTGCAGTTGCTGCTAAAAGATGAAATACTGTATGGTCAGGCTGAGGAACTGTGAGGATTTCTGGCTTTTCCAGCACAGACAAAAACAAGTAATGTAATGGTGATATAGACACACACCAAAAAGAGAGACATTAGGCAAATATAACATGCAGATAATGATGCATTAGTAATACAGAGCAAACACTTACTGTGCAAACACACCACTTCATATATAGACATGCCACATGATCACAGTGGCCGGGTTTTGGTTCCTTATTTTGAAAAAGAAAGGGGGAACAAATGTTTGTTCTGGTAGGTTGGACAGATAGCACTATTCACACTCATTACCACCCTCTAATGTTATTTAAATTTGTCCAAATAAAAAGAAAAAACAATCTGACTGTGTAGTAGACTGGAGTATAGTGAACAACAGGTGCCTTGAGTTGACAGGTTGCAATTTGGTGCCACATGAATAAAACTGAATTAAACCTTATCCTGTCCCACTGCAGCCGAGATGACCTGGACCGCATACCGGCCCTGAACAACAACCCAATCAGAAAGCAAATTATTACTGCATTCTTTGATAAAAGGTGAGTACAATCAAATGACACCATATTCTTTCTGTTACCCGTATGGTTAATGTCAAGATCACTGAACTCTTTAATCAGAATCAGTTGTTTACTGTCGACTTCTGTGTGTTTTGGCTGATGAAAACAATAGGCTGAAGAGAACCTAATATGTGGAAGTAACTGTTATTGTTGGGTTCAGTCTTCAGCTAAAAGAACATCCATACACTTTGTGAACACACATTATCCACCTGTTCACATGAAGCAGCAGCTTTGAAAATGAGGGTTTTTTTTGTTGCTATTACAAGACAGTTGTTGGCATTTTTAATCACTGTGTCATGCTTTGGAGGGTGGAAAGCAGCAGAACAAACCACAATGAACTGCATAATAAACAAGCTGTCTGTGAATGCATGTGGCTTCTGCTCACAAGCAAACAACTCTTGTGACAAACTGAATTAAAAACAAATGTTTTATTTTCCCACAATATGGAGATATTTTCATCCATTGTATCAAAATGAATAGTTTAGGATTATCATTATTTATAGTTATTCTTTTTTTTTTTAACCAGAAAAGGCAGGAAAATGCAGAAATTGCATTGGTTAAAACAAGCCTATACATTGGTTTGTTTTGATTGTGATACAGGAACCAGCATCAGAATGATGTTGGCTCCCTTGACGAGATTGGCTTTGAGCAGTTCCTCATGGTCATGTCCCACTTCCGCCCTGTGAATTCAACAGCGACAGAAGAAGAGAAGGTGACTGTAAGAAAACAAAAGCTTCGCTGTAAGTATCAGGGGTTTTGTTTTTTTTTGTTTTTGTTTTTTTTTTCAAATGCTGTCTTCACTTCTCTTTGTGTGTATCTCAATTTTAAAATTAAAAAAAAAAAAAAAAAAAAAGAAGTGTGCCATGCTTCTGGATAAGACTGTGTGGTGATGCTTACACATGTGACAGGTGATGCTTTTAAAACCAGTTTTGTTTTTTTGTTTTTTTTGTTTTGAATCCTTCTAAGCAGTTGTTGTCAGGTTTGAATAATGAGTCTACGCATGTAGTTATGCCCCTGTAACCGCTCAAATTATGTGTGTGTGTGTGTGTGTGTGTGTGTGTGTGTGTGTGTGTGTGTGTGTGTGTGATTGGTTGTGTGATGTGTGTTTGTGTTGTGTGTGTGTGTGTGTGTAAATAAATTTGGGATAAATATAGTATCGTATCTCTATAGGAATAGATAATAATTAGTCAGTGTTCCAATAGGCACTACAGTCTACATTTGTGATTTCTCTTTATTTTGGACTCACTTTCTTTTTAAGCTACTTGTTGTATAGTGGGACAAATGCATATAACACAATGTTAGATTATAAGGAATATTTAACATTTGCAAGTGACGGCAAATTGTGGGTTAGCTGAGTAATTTGTGAGCACAAGTGTGTCTGTAAATGAATTGAGTCAATCCTCAACCTGCAAAATTATCTTTAGCAGTACCAGATTCTAGTGCTTGGTTCTTAGTTTTGCACGGGGGCAAGGAAGCATGACACGGTATGATACCAGAAGAGCTCAAAATGACAGATGCATGATAGGATCCAGTTAGTTAGCCTTCTTGTTCGATCCATGGGTCAAAACCTGAAGCTACAATAGCAGATGTGACTCATGGTTCATACATATTCTTTCTGTGTTTAGTCATAACTGATGAATGAATGTTTACAGTGTATATTGTGTAAGACTTCTTTGAAGTCTTACAAAAATATGCCCGTAAAACTTGACCTTAAAGCTAATTTGTCTCCTTGCTAAATGTCTAATTTGATAAAACATGAACAAATGTAATTTGAAAAGTTTTTTACTATTCTTGCCAGTTTGATTCCTCTTTAAATTCTAAAGAGAAGAAATGGCATACCACAAACATTTTTAATGTTAACACAACAATGACGAGCAGGAAGGGAGGGATGAATAGAAATATAATATAAGTTTCAGTCTCTGACAACCTTAAACTATGGAGGCGTGCAAGTGACTAATGTGACCTCTTGTGTACTCTTGGAACTCCTTTTAAGAATAAATGACATTTAGAATAACAAGAAGAGGGAAAAACAGTTTGCTCTCCAACAGTCAGTTACTTGACATAAAAAGAAAGGAATGCTTTCTGTGTTGTCACCTGTTGTTTCCGAATATTTACTTCCCATGTTTTATTTATTTGAACTTTGGGCAACTTTAAGTTAGCATAGCCTTCCTACTGTCACACTGATACATTTGTAAAACGGAGACAATGCGACATTAAATCTCAGATCAGCAAAATAGTCAAAATGTCTGGTTATTAGCAGAGAGTAGTTTATGGCTGTTACTAGTAAATTTGTTATGGGGCTACAGTAAATAGTCATAGTACTGTTATTCCAGTATCTTCTTAAGCATACGTCTAATTGCTTCTTCCTCAACTTTCTCTGTGAAATCCTGTGACTTGATGAAAATCTGATAAACCATTTTTGCTTTGTTTGTGTGTTTTTGTTTTTGTTTTGTTTTGTTTTTTATAGTCCTGTTCAACATGCACGACACAGACAATGATGGCATTATTACTCTGGATGAGTACAGGACGGTAAGAGAAATTAACCATGCACACACTAGCATACACAATAGCTGCTGATAAGAAGCCTTAAGTAAAAATTCCAACACAGGAACATTTAAATGGAGGACATAACATAACAAACTTAATTATTGTAAACATTAAAGTCACTTTAATTACTTTATAAATAATTTGAGCTATATTAGAGCATTTTAAAAAATGACATTATCACAGGAGAAAACAATGTTACACAAACCTTTTTATTACAGTGGTGTAATGTTCAAAGTTCAAAATAAGGCAGGTAAAGAATAATACTCTATTTAATCAACAATTACATTATCTGTCCTGTCAGTTATGTTGACTGATTTTGTGAACAGTCGACTATTGTGTCACTTTGAATTGTGGGACAGCGTTATCTATTTTCCTATTATAAAGGAAGAAGTAATCAAGGGAGATTGTAAGTGAAGCACATTTCTTAATGGTTTATTAATTTAACTAGTGCTTACTATGGCTATGATGTAGCTCCTTGCGTGTAAGAAAATCTGAAGGGCTGGCTTTCACCAGAACTTACAAATGCATTTTTTCCTCAGCAGTCCTGATATAGTACGTAAGTGCCCTTGAGGAACTTTTTTTTTTTTTTTTAATTATTTGTGTTGACATTTTTTTTTTCTTCAGGGATTAAGATAACCAGACTAGGTCATATACTCTACTGAAACCCAACTGGCCCTTGTTTTAAACACCAGGCAGCATTATAAAACAATGCCACATGCACATAACGTGTATGTACTTTAAGTATTTTGTATTAAAAGGCTGGACTGTGGAAATGTTGATGACTAAATGTACATCTCAGGTTTAAAAACAGAAATCTCCTTGAAATTTATATTTAAGACGACTCATCAGCTAATGTTGCAAAAGATTTAAAATGCCTTGCACTGAAAGACTGACTGAACCAGTCTGTACACACCCACATGGCCCTCAAACAGCATTATCAGCCAAAGCACATAAAGACATATAACATACAGTACTCTTCAGCCATCTTCACCGTTAATTTTCGTGTGAAAATAATATGGTAGGCACCTGCTGTGACACATACGCGATTAACTGCAAACCAACTGCAGAACAAGTTAGTTTAATAGCTCAAAAGACTGTTCATACTTGCAAGAATTAACCCAGATGTTAAGTTGGGTTAAAGCAAGATTTACAGATAATGTTTTATCACAAAGACCGTTAATATAAATCCAAGTGGATTTTTGGGCACTTAATCGAAGCGAGCTGATTGGCTGCGAATACCATTCTTAAAATGTAAGAGCTGAGTTTCTTACCTCTCGCTGTATTTGGAAATCATCGTGTGGAGTCGACTTTTAATGTTCTGTTCACATCCAAGGTGGTAGAGGAGCTGCTGTCTCAAAGCGGAGCCATTGAGACCGAGGTTGCCAGGTCGATAGCAGATGCTGCCATGCTGGAGGTGGCAAGCACAAATGTGCCCCACATGGTAAGAAAACTCACCAAAGCTGAACTGTTACAAGAAATTTGCACATGTGCAGCGAAGTAACACAGTCACTGGTCTCATTCCAGGCCCCGGATGATTTCTATGAAGGAATCACATTTGAGCATTTTGAACAGGTTTGCACTTACCTTATATATGCAGATATATCTATATATTAGATATAGATGGATAAATATATTTTCAATGTTTTCTGCCCACAGATTTTAAAAGGCATTGAAATGGAGTCCAGGATGTCCATTCGCTTTTTGGACATGAACACCGCAACAATGCGTTGTGGGAAATTAAGCTCTTGATTGGGTTGTTGTTGTAAGGAAATATTTATGTTGCTGCTGTTTTAGCACAGTGTCACCAGTCCTAAAAAGGAATGAAGCCAGCCACTTCTGATATAAATAAATAAATAAATAAATATATAAAGACAAACAAATATATTTTTGAACAGGAAAAAATGCTAAATAAATGTAACACACTGCTGTAAGTTCATTTTCATGCCAGTTTTAAAGACTGCATGTCACTTGTGCCTTTCCAGAGTTCTTCAGTTAAGCTTTAAGAATTCAGTTTTTATGTTTTATTATCTGAAAAATAGCTAGTATGAACGAATGCAGTGAGGTTTATATTTAGGCTTTGGTCACAACACACACCAGTCTCCCAGCACTACAACTATTCTACAAGCTCCACTGCAGTCAGCAGGTAATGTGAGGGTTTCTTTATACTAGAGAGAATCTTCACTTTAGCTTAACTCAGTGGCTACTCTGGCATTCATGGGTCAACTGTTATGGCATCCAAAGTGAGACGCTGCAGGCACACACCATTTCCTCTGTAGCTCCAGAATAGCTCTTTTTGCTGTGTTCCTCTGTGTAACCAACCACTACTGATGTACTGTAGAAAAATGCACTATTTTTGATTACTGGTATATGGGAGAGTGTACTTTCTCTAAGGTGAAATCTGACAGCCCTCTCAATTAATTCTATTAATAAACAAAATAAATGTGAAGAAAAATGCTTGTGTACATTTTTTAATAGGAAAGAATATTCAAATGATTTGCATATAGTAAATGAGGTAAAAATGACTTTATTCCTGTGATGTTGGACTACATCAAACCCAGTGTTTCATCGGGCAGCTAGATTAAACAATAACATAGAGATACCTATGCAACAGTTATATACAATACACCGACACTACTACATTTTAATAGCCTTGATTTGATCAGGATGATGAAAGAGGAGCTGTTAAATAATAGGACAGAGTTTATTAAAGGTTCAAACTGATAAATGTTACTGTCTTTTCAATTGCAGTCAATTAAGTCCATTTGCAGTCTGGAAAACTGCGTGTCATTGGGACGGATGGGAACCAGACAGCCTGTCGTAAGGCACTGCTAGGCTGATGTTGTAGTTGTAGCCATAAGACTCTATGTAGTCAGACCTGCAGATGGGCAGGATGTGATCCTGTGACAGGGCGTCCTCAGAGAAGTCATAGTGGCAGATGACTCCTCTGTGTCTGAAATTTAGAAAAACAAAACACTGACATCAGTAACAAAAACAGAAACTGTGTCTTCTAGACTTTGCTTTAGAAGACTGAGACAAAACGGCAGACGTGCAGTTTAGCTCATTTATCCCCTAAATGCATCATCTCCAGAAAATCATAAATTACTGTTTTTAAATGTGGATATGGGATAACAATCACTTAATGATTGTTTGTGTGTGTTCAGGGCAGACTGTAGCTTTCTGAAGAAATGCTTATCCAAGCAACATGAATGAGTGACTGAAGGAAGCCACAAGAAGCCAAAGACGTTACAAAAACATGTCTAGCATCTGTTTGTGACTAAACATTGTAAAACGGTTTGTCCAGTTGTCATTTTTTCCATACCCATTCACAAGGCCTGTACGAATTAAATTTGTTAGTTTGTGACTACATTAACAGCGAATCTCCTCACAAAAATAGCCCAACAAACGTGCTTGTCTGAGCGACGCAGCCACACAGCAGTCATTTTTGGGGAGATGCTGGTAACACGCTTTAGCTCAAATGTGAAAAATGCTCATCCTAACAAAGACACAGGGTGTGTGTGTGTGTGTGTGTGTGTCCCCACTAATAGACCTACCAAGAACAAACAGAAGCATAGGCAGACAGATTTCTCAAATTACAGGTAAGGTGATGAGTAAGGTCTTACTAAAAGAAGGTACTGTTGTTCTGTACAAAAACATGATCTCACCTAAGGATTTTTGCTACCTCTGGTTACAGTGAGACTACCTTCTTGCTAATGAAGGTCCTCAGCAACCTGTTGAAAAACAGGTTGCTGAGGACTCAGAAATGACAGCTGTATCGCTTTTCTCAAAAGGAATCAACCATCAATCCCTCCATTCTTTTCTGCTTGTCCTTATCAGGGTTGCATAGTGGCTGGAGCCTATCCCAGCTTTTGTACAAGAGACTTATAGGAGGTAGAAGAATAGAAGAGATCCAGGCAAAAAAAAAAAAAAGTGTAGGAGGGAGATCACGACCTGCGATGAGCTGTTAGGTCATCATCTGTGATGCAAGCTCCCCGTGGCGACTTGTCATCAGGGATGTTGGCTGTTACCAGAGTGCTGGTGTTGAAGCGTACATGCCTTACAGGATGCCTGCAGCAAAGATGGATAACACCTTGAATATTAAATATATAAATCGCATTCTTGCCAGCATGTGTTTCGCTGATGGATGTATCCACTACTGTAGCATCTACAAAAGATACCAGTTAAGATGCTGAATGTTTTCTACACGGTGAAGGCGCCACAAACATGACAGTTACTGCTTGGAGATGTGAGTGTGATGCTAAACTGACTCCACAATATTGTCTTAAGCAATTTAATTTACATGAAAAAAAACATTTATGTGAGAAGATTACGTTAACTGTGGCACAAGAAACTGAAATGAGAAGAAAACAGAGTAATCATAATCACTGGTTAAATGTGTTCGAATGAGGAACTACATTTACTACAATGTTAAAGTCAAATACCATACTCATAATGTGATACAGCAGAAATAACATGTTTAAAAAACAATTATATCTTTTTAGTGTTTCTGACAGTTTGTACTGAAAACAGTCCTACCTGTTGTGCATCTCCCATAGCTTTGCTCCCATCCTCATCTCCCAGACACACACCAATCCCTCGCCTCCGCCGCTCACAATCTTCCAGTCATCCGCTTGCACAGAGGTGACCCCCAAGTGGTGGGCGTACAGAGATGCGACGGAAGAGCCGGATCTTATGTCGAACACCCTCACCCTAAGACATAGTAAGGAAAAACCAAAACTAATATTAAGTTATTGAGAGAAAAGTGCTTACTTTTGTCATAAAACTACAGTTATTTAAGTCAGACATCCTTCACAGGCCACTTTATTGTTGGTATCCTTGATAAAACTCCCCTGACGATCCAGCGTAAGAGCCATAGAAAAATAAGTGAAGTGAGTACAATAGTGCTCTAGCTAATTTTGGATTTCTTTTAACAAAAGTGGATGTCTATTACCAAGGGAGAGCCACAGTTTATCAAAGAGTGCATTCATTTGCAGACAAAAGGACTCTATTCTCACTTCTTGAAGGAAACTTTTCAGCACAGATGGCCCACTCCAAACTTTAGTCCCAGCTTTATTTGTTCTCGCATCTGGACAACTATTTCATAATTTGATTCAACAAACCAAGATTATAGTAGTTATTTAAACATGACTACCAACTAATAAGTAACTGGAATACAGACAGAAATCCAAAACCAACTAAACAAGGATCTAAACAATATTCAAGAACAAAGCAAAAAAAGAAAACACAAAGGTCGAGCAAAACACCCACATGCACAAATGTGGAATGAAAAGGCTGCTGTTGTGCAGATACTGTAGAAAATAAGAAGGAATTCAAAGTGTATAAATATATTTGACAGCACATATAGGGAGTGTATATTGTGCACTGTAAATAAACAGTTCATATGTCGAACGTGACAGAATGAACACGACAAAGGATACTTTCTCTGATCCATTTTCAAACACTTATCTTTGTCACCTCATGTTTTTAATAAAGTGTAGCAAGTTTTACTTCATTTGTTGTACTTTTGTTCACTTTTGTATTTAACGTTACCGTTTTCCTCTTTTAAAGTTTGACAAGGATTTTCTTTTAATCTTTTCTATGTTTCTCTGATCCTTTCTGTGTTAAAATAAGCTTTTATGATGATATGATAATTATTATTAATTTGCTGGTATATCTGAGGGATGAAAAGCAATAAGAGCAGGCTTTTTACTCTCCAGGTTTTATCAGCAACATGAGCCCAGGGGACCCTTAGCTCCATCTGTTGTCATTGTGGGTTTATTGCAGCTGAAAGCATCCAGGACATGACTCTATCCAGGCCCAACCTTCTTCCAAGACCTCATTACCATAATCAAATTCACTTTGGGGACTCAGACAGATTTCATTTTCCCTTCCAAACTTTTTAAAAGAATCAGCCTTAAATAGCTAAATGGGCACTGAGGACTTGTTGTCTGCAGTTAGTTCTGCCTGTTTAGTGGCATTACGTGATGGAAGCACACGTTTAAACAATGAGGACTGACCATTACTGCCAGACCTTGGGGAACCATAAATCTAAAGCAGAAGGCGGCTCTGTCTTCAGTTAACTGTCACTGGCTAGGCTCTTCTTCATTAATCAAGAGGAGCTCTCCCTAATACGAGATGTGTGGGAGAAGTGCAGTTAACCCCTGAAAAGCTATTTACCTAACACTGGAAGAAGACATCAATCATTGCGCCCTGAGAGAGACAACCGATTCAGTGGTGTGATTCGATGATTGCACCGGTCTTGTAGTTTTAGCTAAGCTTGATATTCTGTTAAAATGGATGTCTTAAAAACTGGGAATAACAAATTTTGGCTCCTACAGTTGAGTAACAGTGTTCAAATAATTTGTTAAGTTCATTTTGGGTTTTTTTCCATTCAAAGTTATGGGTTAAGTATTAAATGATCAACAATAAGATGGAGATTTAAGTGGAATAAACCAAATTCCACCACAATTTTTAAAAAAAATTGATCGATTTTGGAGTAATACAATGTGCACAACTGTGGATGCTCCCCTTAGCGTAGAATAAACTGCTAGTTTGTGTTGCGTGCCAGATAATGCTGTGCCACGTATAGCCTGTGCACCGAAAATGTTGTAGCAAAAATATTCATTTGCATATGCAGTGGGCAACAGATCTCCAACTAAACCCATATTTTCTTGTGCGTTTCTCGATCAATTTTTTATTCAATTGAAAGCCTGCTATTTTTGGATTGAAATATGCATCTGTGGTTTGTGAAAAAAGCATGCCACAAAGCAAAAATCACTTAGGTTTTCGTATCTGATGTAAAGTGCTGTTGTTG